CCTGGTCCTCTCACTCCTCCCGCTCCTCCCACTCTTGCTCCTGCTCTGCTTTTCATCCTCGTCCTCCTCCTTCATCCACCTCCTCCTCCTCCTCCTTCTCGTCGTCCTCCTCCTCCTCCTCTTCCTACTCCTCTTCCTCCTGCTCATCCTCCTGCTCATCCGCCACCTCATCCTCCTCCTCCTCCTCCTCCTCATCGTCCTCCTCCTCATCCCCCTCCTCCTCCTCCTCCACCTCCTCCTCCTCCTCCTCCGCCTCCTCCTCCTCCTCCTCCTCCTCCTCCTCCTCCAGTGTACACAGTTCCCCCTTTCAGGTTGCGAGTAGCACGATCGGGGTCCCCTTGGGAGGTTCCAGGCCCGCCACGAATGACACCCGTCGGCGGGTAGAGAAACCAAAAACTCAGCGCAATGGGAAGGGATGGGCGGGATGGGGAAGGGTGTCAGATATGGCACGGGCGCGCCCGGCTCGTCCCTCCCCCCTCTTTCTCCTCGCTCCGCTCCCCCTCGCTCCGCTCCCCCTCCTCCGTCCCCCCTTCCTCCGCCCCCTCTCGTCGTGCACGATCTGGGGGGGCAGCCCCCCCCCCACCCCCGGTCGCCACGTCGGCGGCCATGGCGTGGGGCCGGGCTGGTGCCCGAGCGCAGGAGCAGGGGCAGAAGCAGCTCGACAGCAAGGCGACCGTGGTTCCAGGAGGAGGGGGGAGGAGAAGGATAGGACAGAGGAGGATAGGGAGACGGGGGAGGAGAAGGGAGGAGGAGAGGAGGGGGAGGATAAATGGGGAGGAGAAGGAGAGAGGGGAAGGGAGAGGAGAAGGGGGAGGAGAAGGAGAGCCCCCTTCCACGAGGAGAGAGGGGGGGGGATAGGGAGAAGGATACACCGCATTCTGGCCCTGTACGATCCTGATGTCCCGCGCGGCTGGAAGGACCAACACTGCAGTACACAGAAACCACATTGAAGTCGACGTGTCAGTTATGGGTGTGAGGCTCTTCATTCATCTTTATCCACCGGCGACGTGGGAGTTGCCGTCTTGGAGACGCTAGCCACCGTCGCTCTCTGCGGGAGGACGGGGGTCATGCAACTAGGGATCGAACGAAAATCATGTCAAGGAGAGCAGTGGCACATGGACGTCCGAGGAGTTTTTTGTGTTGTCGTCCACGGCCGAAGACTCCATATTGATGGGGGAACAAAAAACGTCTCGACCGAGACGCCGTCCTTCTTCTGGTGGAGGCCTTTGCCCAGCCTTCTCCAGTTATCGCTCGGGTGAGCGGGAGGCTTGCGCTGTGCACCCAGCTTCGCGAGCCGCTCGCCAGAGGCGACCGCTCCACAGCGCCGACAGATGCATTCAAAAACGCTTCGTCTCTGCAGTCCAGCACAATGCAGCCGGGCCCAGCATCCCGCAAGGCTTGGGGAGGAGGAGGAGGAGGAGGGGGGGGGAGGAGGAGGAGGAGGAGGAGGAGGAGGAGGAGGAGGAGGAGGAGGAGGAGGATGAGAGGAGGAGGAGGAGGAGGAGGAGGAGGAGGAGGAGGAGGAGGAGGAGGAGGAGGAGGGAGGGAGGGAGGAGAGAGGAGGAGGAGAGGAGGAGGAGGAGGAGGAGGAGGAGGAGGAGGAGGAGGAGGAGGAGGAGGAGGAGGAGGAGGAGGAGGAGGAGGAGGGAGAGGAGGAGGAGGAGGAGGAGGGTGCCTGGTGCACCTGCCGCGAGGCGGTGTCGTAGCCGAGCGGGCGCCTCGCAAGCCACCGAGGGCACTGCCGGACCGGGCGGGGCGGCCTGCCGACCTGCGTCCGCTCGTGGGGCGTCGGTGGCGGGCCAGGCTCCTCCCTGCTGCTGCTTGACCAGCTGGACTCCTCCTCCTACCCGGCGACCATGGATGGCCCCGCGCAGGGGCCCTCCTGCAGGGCCTCGGCGGGAGCGGCCCTGGGAGGAGGCGCCGCGCCGCGAGGAGGTCCGCTCGCACGCTCCTCGTCGACGTCGGGCAAGTGGGCCGCGCCGACGGGATCGCCGTCGTCGGCTTCCTCCTCGATCCCAGCTTTGGCATGATCGGCGGGCGACGGAGGTGCAAGGTCTTGGCCGAGAGCTTTGACGACCGCCCTCGACAGAGACACAACAGGTGGTCCGCACGTCGGCAGCTTCTTCTCTCTGGGGGCGGGGCCGCTCGGAGCCTGGCCGCCCCGTCCGCACAGTCGTTCCCTCGGCGCCGGTACGAGTCACCAGCCTCCGACGATCCGCGCAGCTCAGCACGGGCAGCAGCTTCGCCCACCCCTGGAGCAGCGCCGTCGGGCAGGGCGTCAGCCTGCAGCAGGACGCCTGAATCCGTGACCTCTGTGACAACGCCGCTCTGGCCGGGGCAGGTACCAAAGCTTCGGCGTCCGAGGAGGAGGATGAGGAGAAGGAGGAGGAGGAGGAGGGGGAGGGGGAGGGGGATGATGATGATGATGATGATGATGATGATGATGATGATGATGATGATGATGATGATGATGATGATGATGATGATGATGATGATGATGATGATGATGATGATGATGATGATGCTGATGATGATGATGATGATGATGATGACGACCATTATGCTTATGATGACGATGCTGATGCTGATGCTGATGATGATGCTGATGATGCTGATGCTGATGCTGATGCTGCTGCTGATGATGATGCTGATGCCGATGATGAGTATGATTATGAGGATGATGCTGCTGCTGATGATGATGATGATGATGATGATGATGATGATGATGATGATGATGATGATGATGATGATGATGCTGATGATGCTGATGATGCTGATGATGCTGATGCTGATGCTGATGATGATGCTGCTGCTGCTGATGATGATGATGAGGAGGAGGAGGAGGAAGACGAGGAAGAGTAGGAGGAATTAGATTATAGCGTTACGACTGGGTAAGCAGGGTAAGCTGGTGAGACTGGCGCGGTACAGATTTTAGACCATTATCGTGCTACTTTGGCTCACGTTCCAATCGCCTCCAGGGAAAAAGAGGCTCCTACCATATTTTCAGGAGGAGGAATGGGATGCCTTGGCCCGTTTCGGGGCTCTTGGGAGGCCCCTGTCGCCTTGGCTGGATCCGCCTCGACGTTCCTGTCGGAACGCGTTCCAGCACAGGTCCAGGGCAGATTTTGATGCCTAAACTTCCTCCTTTTCCTCCATCCCTCCTCCTTCATCCTCCTCCATCCTTCTCCCTGGCCCCTCCTCCCTGCAGGAAGAAACGCTGTGGGTACTTTGGGTGTGAATGTTACGTGCGCGTCGGCCTTTTACATCACTGTGTGGGGTGCTGTCCCGTGCCTGCTGTGGGACCGGTGCCTGTCGAGCACCACAGATGCCTAGTCGGTGAAGGGTTTCAGAAGCGACGCCCTCAGTCTCTCTTGCTGGCGCTGATCGCCGCTCCTGCCTAGTCGGCGGAGTGTTTCGGAAAACAACAGGCCAGCAACAGAGGTGCCATCTGCCATATGCAATACACGCTCTGGCAGTTCCAAACATCGCACGCCACGCACGATCTCGGAGACTCTGCGGGACTCCGGTGCCCGCCCGCTGCGTCCGTGCATGCGTGCAATGTCGTAGCACCGAGCCCACGCCGTCCGATGGTGTCCTCAGCGCTGCCGGGTGGGCGCGGGGGTGCCCGACCTGGATGCGCCACGCCAGCCCTGCAGCCTTCGGCCCCAACGGTTCACCGTTCGCTGGCAACTTCACTGCCAGAATCTGGAAAGCACGGGCACTCTCTGCCTGCGATGTGCAGCGGCACGGGCTGAAGGCGATTCATTGCTTGCGCTTGACGCGGAGATCTGGTGTCCACATCCTCCCCTCCACCATCTTCGCATCGTCGCCCCCCTCATTTTCCCTCCTCCTCCCCCTCCCCCTCCTTCGCACTCTCCTGCGGTGTTTCCGTAGCGGTGTGGTACCGAGCCAGCTTGATTCAAGCTGTTGTCGGCCACATTAAGCCCCCAAAGAAAACATTAAACCAAGCGTGCTTTTCGAATGGCAGTTGTGGCGCCGACGAGGTTGAGCGTGATCTTGTTGGCAACCGCATTGCGCGTTGCTAGCGTCCCGGTAGCCCACTATGACACAGGTCTTGCTCAGGGAGTTACGCTCGAGATTGCGCAGCCTACTCCTGCTGGCCATCCGGCACGGCTCATGAGGAATGATCGTTTTGCGACGACGTCCACTGGAGCTGCCAGCCCCGGGAAGGAGGAACATCCGCCCAATACTTTCAGGGCAAGGGTGTCCATGGATTCTCTAGACAGCCTTCTGGAGACATCTGCACCCCCGTTGAATGCGGGCAGTCCCACGCGCTTCCCTTGGACCAAGGCGTGCACTGAAGGCGCGAAATCGGCATATGTCGACGGGGCGAATGGGAAAAATTGGCAGAGTTATGACGGCAGCGAGTCGAAGCCGTATAAAACTATCCAGCATGCAGTTGACAAAGTCAGCGGCACTTGCACCACCATTTACATTAAGGAGGGCACATACACGAACCAGGGATACAGAGGTGGCACGTGGAAAAATAATCCAAGCAAGGTGTTGGACCTTGACGGCGTCACCAAAGTAATTCTCCGTAATTTCGGAGGCCAGACTGGTACTGGAATCGGTGGCGACAAAGTTATCGTCAAATTCGACGGCCCAGGAGGCTTTGTCGGCGGGAGTTCGGACAAGCCTGTCACAGACGTCGAGATTTATGGCTTCGAAATCCAGGGCCCCAACCAGGATATCACTTACGCGGATGCAATCGGAGACAGAATTACGGGGAGTAAGTATTACAGTGGCCGTGGGATCGCTATTCAGCTGCCTGTGGCAAGCCCCGCCACCGTGCCGGCCCAGCATTCTGGGTGGCGACTGATCGAGGGGACACGGGAGGCTGTCACGTGTGAAACTTCGAGTTTCGAGTCCCCAAGCTTGGGAGAGCCGTGATGAGGATGATGGGGATGATGATGAGTATGATGAAGATGAGGAGGAGGGGGAGGAGGAGTAGGAGGAGGAGGAGGAGGAGGAGGAGGAGGAGGAGAAGCGCAGGAGGAACAGCGGGAGGACGAGGGCAAGGAAAGTCGTCACATGTGGCACTTTTCGTCTTCACTTCTTGATGAGCTCTCATAGGGCTCATTTCAGCCGTCTTGGGGCTGTCTTTGGGCTCCCTTGGGGCAGTCGTCGGGGTCCCTTGGGGCCATCTTGGGGCCTTCTTGGGCCGTCTTGGGGCCTTCTTGGGCCGTCTTGGGGCCCTCTTGACTACACGGTGGGTGCCTTGGGGCCGTCGTCGGACCATCTTGAGGCCGTCCTGGGCCGGCGAAGGGTTTTCTATGAGCCGAGGCCGTCTGGGGACTCTCTGGCGCCGTTTTGGGGCCGTCCTGGAGGCATTTTGGGCCGTCGTGGCGTTCCCTCGGGCCGTCTTGGGACCCTCCGAGGGGGGCCCCATGGACCGTCTTGGGGCCATCTTGGAGGCTTATCGGGCCGCCCTGACCCGGCGGAGGCGCGAGAGGGCGAACGTGCGAACATTGGGAGTCAATCCCCGTGGCCTCATTGGGCCCTGTTGGGAGCCCTCTTGTGGCTCTCCTGGGCCCCCACGGATGCATCCTGGACTGCAGGGGGGCCATTCTGGGCTGCCTCGGCGGTATCTTACTCAGGGCATCTTCGTGGTCTCGGCAGCCTGCCGCGGCCGTCTTGGACGCTCGGGAATCCCAGATTTTTTGTTTTTTGCCTTGGATCGTGGCCTCGAGACTGCGGATCCATCGTCTTGTGCGAGTGCTCGTGGCCTCGGGGAGGGGGGGGGCGGTGGATGCAACGAGTGCTGGAAGAGTGCGGGGGGCCCCTTGCAAGATTTCAGATGCCCTGCCAGACAGCCCTTGGCATTCTACCACGCCTCAACGTGCAAGGGGGTACGGTGGCGGATTTGGAAGGGCGCGCGCATCCACATCCACCACATGAAGGTGCACAACACGCCTGCTTCTGGGTTGCGTGTGGACAACAGCGACTACGTCGTCGTAGAGGAGAGCGAGGTCTGCAACTCAACGTGGTGGTCCTCCTCCGCGGAGAGCGCAGTAGTGCTTGCGCAGAGCGTCAACGTGGATGACGAGGAGGGCATCAAGATGATCCTGCGCAACAACAAGGTTCACGGCAACATGAACAAGATCCCGTATTACAACAATAACTACGCGTGGGACTACACCCCTCTCGGCTCCCATGCATGCTCCAGCGACCCGGCCTGCAAGTCCGAGGCCGACGCTGGCAAATGCACTGGAGGTTGCCAGTGCCCGTGGCAGTGCCGATATGGCAAGAGCACCCAGGATTACATCATCGACGGCATGGGTGTCTACGTTACTCGCAACAGCGGCACTTACCTCAAAGGAAAGATGGAACTATCCGGCAACGAGTGTTACGGGAACGGTATCAATGGCCTCGTCTTCCACAGGACTTTCCGTGGCATTGTCAAGAAGAACCTCATCTACGACAATGGTGTCGTCCCCCTGGACGGTTTCGACGAACACATTAAAGAAAGCACGGATTGGATGAGCCCGCTAAAGAAGCAGCGGCAACCCTATTCCGGATTGGTGCTCAACAATGCGGCCGAAGTCAAGCTGTTCGGTAACAAGGTGCGCGCCAGGTATGATGATGATTATGCCTTCACGACGCAGTTCGACTCAGGTGTTTCGTATAATCTCAGTAATGGTGGCAACAATAAGGTTTGCAAAGGAAAGGTCAGCACGGACCTCGCAGCATATGTCGCAAACGGTTCGACTGCGGATTGCGGCTCGTGGTTCCGTTAGCTGGGCAGGTTTGGTTTCCCGTCCCAAGACCATCTTCCACCCGCAAAGAGAAATGATGACGACGACGGTGTCGACGACAACGACGGTGTGACCATTATTCCTGAGGGCTTCGCCCATTGCCGCCAGCCCCCTCTCTCGTACAATGGGGCATAGCAGACCTGAGCTGGGATAAGAAGGACGTTGTGAAGCAATGTCGGGATACAACGCGGGCCAAGATCGTACGTTACAAACTGCACAGCAAAACTGGAAATCATCAATCGAGTTCTGACGGTTCGCATTGCGAACTTGCTGACGATCGTGGCTCGGGACGCGGACATCGCTTGATGTACTGGGAATCGTAGCCTCGGGGACGCGAAGGCAGAGTCATTCACAAAAAGGAGCGTGGCCTTGAGGACGCGAGTAGTTGTAGTTTACGAGGGATCGTGGCCTCGGGGACGCAGACACTGAAACTTTCTGCTGGTTCATGGTGTCGAGGATGCGAGCACCGCATGATTTACGGGGGACCGCGGCCTCGGGGGCGCCCACGCGGTGTAGTCTGTTCGGGATCGTGGCCTCGGTGGCGCCGACACTGTAGAACTTTACAGGGGGGCCCGCGGCCTCGGTGGCGCAGACACCGAGACCTTTCCGAGCGCTGCTGGCCTCGAGGGCGCGACCGTAGTGTGTGTATATATTTACATTTATTATTATTATTATTGTTGTTGTTGTTATTATTATTATTATTCTTATTATTATTATTATTATTATCATTCTTCTTCTTCTTATTATTATTATTCGTATTATTATTATTATTATTATTATTAATATTATATATATATACTGTCAATCCTTTTGATGGCCTCGAGGACGCGAGCGTGGTCCAGTGGTGCGAGGGATCGCTGCTGCGGGGGCGCGAGGGAGTGTTGTGCAGTGTATTTTGGGGGCCGTGGCTTCGATGGCGCGAGGGGGCATGATCTGCGAGGGGCCGCGGCCTCGGGGGGCGCTTCTCCTGCAGGACTCGCTGGGGATCGTGGCCTCGTCGGCGCAGCTCCTCTGCCGTTTTCGAGGGCTTCCGGCCTCGAGGCGGCGAAGACTGCACACTTCGCTAGAGACCTAATGGCTTCGAGAGCGTAAGTTTACGAGGGGTCGTGGCTTCGTGGGCGCGAAGCTGGCATAGTTTTAGCAGGGATCGTGGCCTCGGCGACGCGAATAAGGTGTGCTTTAGGACGGGTCGTGGCTTCTGGGGCGCGAGAATCGCACAAATTACGGGGGACCGTGGCCTGGATGAGGCAAACATTGAATATCTTGTACGGTGTATGGCTTCCAGGACCCGAACATGGCGTAACCTACTAGGGAGTATTATGGCTTTGACGAGGCAAACCTTTGGTAATTTGCATGGGATCGTGGCCTCGGGGACACGCATATTGAGTCACTTACGGGGGATCTCGGCCTCCAGAGCGCGAACACTAAGCAGCATACATAAGATTATTGCCTCGGGGGCGCGAACCTAATGCATTTTAATGTGTCCCACGGCCCCGCAGGAATTCAGACAACGCGCTTCGGGCGTGGTAAGTTGGACGTTTTTTGAGTTCCACCCTCGCGCAGACTTCAACAGTTTACACTAGGAATCGACTACGGACGGGGGGGGGCTGGGCTAAGGAGGGAGCGCGGGATCCGTGCCGCTCCAGCACCCTTTGCGCCCTCATCCCCGGGGCGCTCCCGCTCTCGCGCCGAGGCGCCGTGGGGGGGGGGAGGAGGGGAGGCAGGGGGATGTCTCCTGGGCAGGGGCTGGGCTCGAGACGGGCTGGCGGGGAGCTGTGGGCGGGAAGGGGCCTGGGGCTGGAGGCGGGGAGTCGGCGAGCGACGTCCGATCCATGCTCGTGCTTCTGCCCCCCACTCTGGGCGCCAGGAGGAGGATGGTATGGATAGAAGAAGGAGGAGGAGGAGGAGGAGGAGGAGGAGGAGGAGGAGGAGGAGGAGGAGGAGGAGGTTAAGAAGCTCGGCGCCTGCGGCCATATTCTTATCCATGCCCCCGCTCCGGCCCCATGCTGGGAGTGGGGCGCGAGCACGGGCATGGACAGAACGCCGATCGCTTCGGGAGCGGGGACAGAGAGGGAGGTGGGGAAAGTCGACGGTGCAGGCGAGGTGAAGTCGAGACGAGGGAGGAGGACGACAGGAAAGGTCAAGGAGCAGTGCAGACGAGTACTCCGAGTTGTTGGGTAAGACCTCTCCCCGTGCCACTCCGCCTGGGCTGCCCGTCCCCGCTCCCCCACGCGCACCGAACTCACCCCCGAGCGCGAGCCCCCCCCCCCCCCCCCTCCGCGAAGCGCAGCCCATTCTTACCCCCCCGCGCGATCCCCCCCCCACTCTTACTCAATACTTCGGAGTGTCGGATTTTGCCATGCGCAGCCCACCGCCTTGAGATGGTTCAGGGGCGAACAAAAACACAGACACAAACAAGCGTCGATCTCGAGGACAATATGCAACAAGATGTGGGACGTGGAGGGGGAGACGACAGTCCAGAGCATATGGAGCACATGGGGAGTCCTGGTATTTGTGTCTATTTGTTTGTGTGCCCTTGGGCCCCCTCAGTCGTGGGGCGCGGCCTCGGCCGATCGGCAGCCTCCGCGCCGGGGCGACGCCGAGGGGAGGGGCGCGCCCCAGCGAGCCGCCCGCGAGGTGCGGCACGTGCTCTCCGGCTGCGCGTCGTGCGTCCGGGACGCCCAGGAGGGCGCTCCATTTGTGCGTGCTCCTCCTCCTCCTCCTCCTCCTCCTCCTCCTCCTCCTTCTCTTTCTCCTCCTCCTCCTCCTCCTCCTCCTCCTCCTGCTTCTTTTGAATAACAAGTTCGGGAAGACCTTTCGAAAGAGCTCTGGAAGCTCTTTAAAAGAGCTTCAGATAAGCGCGTGCTGCTGCTGCTGTTGCTGTTGCTGCTGTTCCTTCTTCTTTTCCTCCTCCTCCTGCTTCTCTCGAAGAACAGAACATCAACATAACCTTTCGGCGCTCCGCGCGGATTTCTCGGATCTGCGCTGGGCCACCCTTCGCGGCGCCTCCAGCGCCGCCCCTGGCGCGCTCCGCGCACCAGGGAGGGGGTCCCAGCGCAGATCCAAGAAATCCGCGTGGAACGCGGAAAGTTCATGTTTATGCCGTTTGTTGTTCCTCTATCCTCCTCCTTTTGCCTTTCTTGCTGCTCCTCCTCTTCCTTCTCCTGCTCCTCGTCTTGCGTGTTGCTCCTCCTTCGCCTGCCCCTTCCTCCTGCTTCTCCTGCTGCTCCTCTTGCTTCTCCATCTCCTAAGGGACCCCCTCGGGGCTTCATTGTGACCTTCTCGGGCCGTGCTGAGGGACTTTGGCGCCATTGGTGTGCGGGAGGGGCGCCCAGCAGCGGGGGCGCTTGGGTAGCGCCGGAAATCCCGGCATGTTCGTGGTCCGCTGTAAACAAGAGCCGAAGCCGCGAAACCCGCACGACTGCACGTGCCTGGGGTGGCGCTCAACCCAAGGCAGGAGCCACTTCGACTCTGTCGATCTGAATCGTTTCAGTTTCGAGGGTTCCGAATTCGATCTGACTCGACTCTGGATACCGACTTTGGTTTGGATTTCCTCGTGTACGTTTCGGCTTGGGCCGGCGGACGTCGATTCCGATGCCTTCCGATTTGCTTGCCGATTCCTGTTGGTTATTATATCTAATGGAAGAATCCTGGGGAGGCTTGTCCAAGTGTGATTGTCCGCAGGGGTTGTCTAAATCCCCGCTGGGTTGTCCAAGGGGTTGTCCAGGGTAGGTCGTCTTGGCGCCATCAATTAGCATGGTTTGTCCGGGGTGTCCGAGGGGTTGTCCGGGGAATTTTGGTCGGACCTTTCTTCCACTGCAGATAGTACACGTGATGCGACGGCGGGCTCAACCTTCCGATTCGCTCTTGGGTCCTCCTGCCCGAGGGGGAGGAGGAGGAGGAGGAGGAGGAGGAGGAGGAGGAGGAGGAGGGAGGAGGAGGAGGAGGCGGAGGAGGAGGAGGAGGAGGAGGGGAGGAGGGAGGGAGGAGGAGGAGGAGGGGGAGGAGGAGGAGGAGGAGGAGGAGGAGGAGGAGGAGGAGAGAGGAGGAGGAGACCCGAGGCTCACCCGAGGCTCGCGCCTCCAGGCGCCAGGAGAGTCCGCCCTGGGGCCGCGGCTCCGGCCGCCGGCGGCGGCGCACGCAGCGGCGCACATGCGTCTCCGCCACCGTGCCTTCGGCACGATGAGCTCCTCCTCCTCCTCCTCCTCCTCCTCCTCCTCCTCCTCCTCCTCCTCCTCCTCCTCCTCCTCCTCCTCCTCCTCCTCCCCCTCCTCCCTCCTCCTCCCTCTTCCTCCCTCTTCCTCCTCCTACCTCGGTCGCAGGGAAGGTTCGTCGGGGGAGAGCCTCTGGCGCCGAAGGCACGTGCCTTCGGCGTCCCTGGGCGCGCGCGCGCGCGTCCGCCCCGCAGGTCAGGCGCTCGTCTTCGGGGCCCTCCCGAGGCCCACCCGCAGGACCTGTTCGACTGCTGCCTGGCTCGCGTGCGGCTCGAGTTCGACTCGGGCTCGACGGAAGCTCGCCTCATGTCGACGGAGGTTCGACGCAGCATCGCCGCGTGAACTGAGCGAGCGGCTCCAGGAAGGCCCCCCGAACCAGAGTTTATGCGGCACCACACATGTGGGCGTCGGCCCCTGCAGAGGCGACGCGTGCGTTCAGAAATTTTGTAGTATAGGCCATATCGCTCGGTAGCGAGCTGCCAAAACGTTGCGTGGGCTGCGACGTGGCCCACGGCAGTGCCGCACTCCGTCGCGCGGCACCACTGCCCGGCACTCTGGAGGCTGGAGCTTCACCAGGAGCTGCCAAACATAGCAGGCGAATAACAAGTCCACCCCCACCCGAACGCAGCGCTCGCGCTGCAGCTGCGTGGACCCTCACCTGCCAGTTGTTTCACAATGTCTTAGTTTCAAGGTTCTGTCTTGGAATGCGTGTGGCATGGAGGCGGGAGCGGTCGAAGATATGCTTAGTCTCTTGCCGGACGACATGGAGTGGGACGCAACCTTGCTGCAAGAAAAGCCTTAATATGATCAATCTTCTTATGTGATTTTGGAAGCAGGGCACGCTTTATTCGTAGGCGCCTGCAGGGAGTGGGTCCGCAGCGGCTGCGTTGTGCTGCACAACGGGTGGGTGGATGCTGGAGCCTGCTTGACGTTCAAATCGCCTGGGAGACGAGCGGCGCATGTGGACATGGATGCACGTGGACTCAAAACACGGCTGTTGACAGGGCACTGTCCCCATGCCGGCCACCCGGAGGAAGAGTACGAGGACTTGGTTGGAGGAGATGGGCAAGGCTGTGGACGAGGGCCGGCGCAAGAAATATCTGAACTTGCTTGGGGTAGACGCTAACGCTGTTATCGGAAATAGAACGCCCATTGATGACCCGAACTTTCTTGGGGAGTACAGCCAGGGCCGCATGTGCGACAGAAGGCGATTGTTTGCGGGATGGCTGCACGGGATGCGGCTGGCGGTAACTACTACATTTGTGAACAACGATTACAAGTCACAGTGGACGCATAAACACACGAACGCTGGACATAGGAGACAGATATATCACATATTGATCGACGATATTGACAACGATTGTGCCCAGTATTGGAATCTTCTGCATGTTTTGGATGGTGCTTCTGATCATCGAGCTTTCGCTGCAGATTTTTCGTTTGCTGGCAGGCCTTGCCGACGACGGAGAGAAAAAAGATCCGAGTCGGCTGGGCCCCGCAGCTTGGCGGCGGCGAGAAACCCACAGTGTATCACACGGGCCTGGACGACCGGCTGCTGCGACTTGGTTGCGCAACTGACGCGGCGGACATTGTTGTGGAAGTTGCCTCAGCGTCAGGAGTCAAACGAGGAATCGACAATTTGTGCAAACACAGTGTGACAACCCAGGAGCTTCTGAGCGCAAGGCTCGGTGAACCAAGCCCAGACAAACGGCGAGAATTATCGAAATAGGTACGGCGATCCATGTGGGGAGAGACGACGCAGGCACGAACGAGAACTGGAAGATCTACTGCTCAAGGGTTCTGGGGTTGGGGGCGTTACGAAAATTTGAACAGAGACGCAGGTGCCGAGAGAACGTTGAGGATCCAGGATAGCATTGGAGTTATGCATGCGGATGACATGTCGATTTGCGAGTGTTCGCGGCTTTTTTACAAGGACCTCTACCGCGAAACAGAAGGACACTCGGCAGATCCATAATAATATCCGCATAAAGCTCAAGAGGGCCCCAAGAGGGTACAACAATAAAGTTGCTAATAGGTTAGGAAGCATTTTAACATTATCGCCGTTTGCGTCTTAGAAGCGTCGAAGACGGTCCAAGAGGCCCCCAATATCGCCCCAAGACAGCCCAAGAGGCCCCCAAGAGGAGCCAAGACGGTCCAAGAGGGCCCCAATATAGCCCTGGAGGCCCCCCAAGACGACCCAGAGAGGCCCCCAAGATGGCTTCAAGAGGGTGAGCCCGAATGGACCCTTCTAGTCCTCCAACCAAGATGACCCCAAGAGCCCCCAAGGGGCCCCCGAGGCGCCCCCAAGGGGCCCCCAGAGGCCCCCAAGAGGGCCCAAAGGCCCCCAAGAAACCCCAAGAACCAAGAGGCCCCAAGAGGCGCTCACTTGCGTGCTGCCAGGCCAGAGGTGCACGGCCTGACTTGGTATTGCTCGGAAGCGAAAGCGATGAACAAAGAACCTTCCACCCGTCGCAGTCATCAGTCGTCGGTCGTCGGCCGTCGGCAGCCGTTCGCCGTCAGTCGTCGTCGTCGTCGTCGTCGTCGTCGTCGTCGTCGGTTCGTCGTCATTAACTCCCTCGTCGATCGTCGTCGTAATTATCCCGCTCGTCGACCGTTGGTCGTCCGTTGTCGTCGTCATCCTCCATTTCAACAACAATAGCATCAGGCGCGCCCGGATCGGCGGCACTGGCCGGAGGCCACTACAATAATATCCGCACAAAGCTCAAGTCACATAAGAAGAGTTGAACAGGGCACTGCGGAAACTAAAGAAGTGCAGAACAGGGGCGGATGATGGTTTGGCGGCAGAAATGCTTCAGAGTGGACACGGTGGTCTTTGTACAACCATTGCAGATTTCTTTACCGAGACCTTACGTTTTGCCGCCGCCAGAAGAATGGACAACTACAGAATTACATGTGCTGTTCAAAAAGGGAGACCCGACAATGCCAAACAATTACCGGCCAAACGCCGTAATCCTTGTGATGGCGAAGTTATTCAGCACTGTGTTGTACAACAGGGTCGCCGCCGACATCGACGCCAAACTCTCCCGGGAACAATTTGGCTTCCGACCCCCCGTGGGTGCGCAGACGCAAAGCACATCGTGCGAACGGTTATCGAGAAGTTTTTAGACTGGGGTGAAGAGCTCAGGGGTGCAACTTTGGATGCGGAAAAGGCTTTCGATCGCGTCCATCATTTTGCGCTCTTCGACGCTCTCTTGCGGAACCGCATTGACATGTCCATCGTTTCAGTGTTGAGGCGCTTGTACTTGGGAGTCAGGGGATTCGTGTCTATGTGGCCAGGACTGGACAGCCGGCACTTTGACGTGGACCGGGGCGCGCAACAGGGCGACCCACTTTTTCAAATTCTTTTCAATTTGGTGTTGGATGGAGTATTTGCGGAAGTCAATGAGGTATGGAAGAAAAGGCGGTACGGCACCCTCGTCGGGTACGAGCCCCGGGGGCATCGCCTCACGCATATTGCATTCGCGGACGACCAGACGCTGATCGCAAGAAGTTGGGTCTCAATGAAGAAAATGATTTTGATGCTGCGGTCTGCGTTATCCGACAGGGGCTTATCCTTGCACCCCGCGAAGTGCAAGGTCCAAGCGACCAAAGACATTTTCTCTCGACGAGGGCAAGTCAGCCTTGCCGAAGGATTCTCAACATAAGTTCTGCCACCAGGAGAAAGCTTGGAAATGTTGGGAACAGCGTTGTCGCTGGAAGACCCCGCCGGGGTCGAAATTGCTAATCGCATTGCCGCCGGTTGGCGAAAGTTCTGGTCTAAGAAGAAGCTGATTCTCAATAGTTCGTTTTCGGTCAAGAAGAGGCTGCGCCTTTTTGATAGCACAATCGCCGAGTGCATTTTGTGGTGCCCGGAATCTTGGACACCAAGAGCTGTATAATTGAGAGCGCTTCGAATCACGCAACGCACAATGCTGAGGCGGGTCGTCGGGGTTTGGTGGCATGGCGACGAGCCATGGGTTGAGTGGGTGCAGAGAGCAACTTGCAGAACCTGGCGTCTTGCTCGCCACTGCGCAGGACAACAACTTGCCCTTGTGCACTTCAAAAGGGAATGGCGCTGGGCAGGCGAAGCGGCAAGACATGGCAAACGAGAGTGGGTGTGGAAAGTTACGGACTGACGCGGCGCTCAGTGGCAGGCCGCTGCCAGCGAGCTCGGAACATCGCGTCTGTGGAGGCCGTCTTCGCGAAGGTGGACGCGGTTCGAAGATTGTACACATACGTTTTGCAACGACTATGGCTTCGGCGAATGGCGTGCGTTGGCAGCCGGTAACCATTGGCGCGAGCGGCAGCAGGATTTGGTCGCTCGGGCTGCGGAGGCCAAGTTCGACGACTGAGTTCACCCCCGGGTCCTGCCCCTAGCGGGCCAGTTCTGTTGTTAGGACGTGCTCCTTGCTCCTTGTTCCATACATACATTCCCACATGCATGAGTGTTTGCATGCGTGCATGCATACGCACATACATACACCCATACGCACATACACACATACTACACATACATACATATATGCAGTTATTCATCCGTACACGCATACACACATACACATACACACATCCACACAACCCACATCCACACATACATGCGTACACACATACAGGCACATTCATACAGGCGTACATCGCATACATATATACAAACATATGTACACACATAAGTACATACACATACATACGTTCACACAAAGCACGAATATATGCATACATGCATACGTTCGTACAAACAAGCAGCCACACATACTTACACACCCACATGTAAACACACATACACACAACTACACATGCACACATGCATACACGCATACAAACATACACGCATACATACACATCTACACACATACATACATACATACGTACATCGATATATACAGCCATACGTGCATCAATGCATCTATACGTACATACATGTGCACACACATCCACACACGTACATACATCCGTACACACTTCCATCCATCCTTCCGTGCGTGCATTAATACGTACATGCATTCATGTATGTCTGCATACAAGCATACATGCATATTCATACATAATACATGCATATCTGTATACACATGTTACATACATACATACATACAGGCATACATACACAAATCCATACATACATCCGTTCATCCATGCGTACATCCATACACATATGCATACGGACATACATACATGCACATTTGCTTATATACACGCATACGTACATGCATGCATATATGCGTGTATGCTGGTATGCATACGTACACGAACACAATCATACACACACACAGATATCGGCACACATGCATACATAAACAAACATACGCGCGTACGTACGTACGTATTTACATGCACACATACATACATAAACGCATGCACACATACTATACATATAACGGCGCACCGGGTCCGGGGGCCCGGGGCCGGGACCCCGACCACAAATGTGGGCTCCGGGGGGCCCGGAGGCTCGTCGGACCGCCGGACGCCGTCCAAGATCGTTCGCAGGCGGCTTCGAAACGCGCTCCGATGGCTCCAGATGCCTTCCAAGACGCCTGTCATGACACCAAGAAGGTCCCAGAAGCCTCCAAGACGCTCCGAGAGGCAGCCCAAGAGAGGCCCAAGAAGCAAAAATCGTGCCATTCCTATGGGAAAACGTATATTTTTCGCATGTTCGCCTCTTGGGTTTTCACCGCGTCCAAGACGGCCCAAGAGGCGCCCAAGACGGTCTACGAGGCCTCCGGGAGCGCTCCAAGGCTGCGCACGAGTGTCCCAGGACGGCCCCAAGACGGCCGAAGAGAGCCCCAAGACGAGTTCGAGAGGGGTCCCAGACGGAGAAAGCCAACCTCGAATTCCGAGCTTCCGGCCCAAGAGGCTCCAGGAGGCGCCAAAATGCCGCCAAGAGGCGCCAAAAGGCTCCCAAAAGCACCCCAAGACGTTCCGAGAGGCACCCCAAGAGAGGTCCAAGAAACAAAAATCGTGCCATTCCTATGGGAAAACGTATATTTTTCGCATGCTCGCATCTTGGGCTTTCACCGCGTCCAAGACGGCCCAAGAGGCCTCCAAGACGGCCTAGGAGGCCTCCGGGAGCGCTCCAAGGCTGCGCACGAGTGGCTCAGGACGGCCCCAAGACGGCCCAAGAGAACCCCAAGACGACTTCGAGAGGGGTCCCAGAAGGAGAAAGCCACTCTCGAATTCCGAGCTTCCGGCCCAACATATCCCAGGAGGCGCCAAAACGCCGCCCAGAGGCGCCAAAAGGCTTCCAAAATCAGCCCAAGACGTTCCGAGAGGCACCCCAAGAGAGGTCCAAGAAACAAAAATCGTGCCATTCCTATGGGAAAACGTATATTTTTCGCATGTTCGCATCTTGGGCTTTCACCGCGTCCAAGACGGCCCAAGAGGCCTCCAAGACCGCCCCAAGACGGCCCAAGAAGCTTCCAAGAGGGCCCCAGGACAGCCCAAGAGGGCCCCAAGACGGCCCAAGAGGCGCCTAAGATGGCCCAAGAGGGCCCCAAGACGGGCCCAAGAGGGGGCCCAGAGGGGGACCACGAACCGCAAGCTCGAGCCTTCCGCCCCAAGAGGCCGCCAGGAGGCCCCAAGGAGGCCCCTCAAGAGGCCCCAGGAGACCCCCAAGAGGCCCAAAGGAGGCCCCGAGAAGCCCCAAATCGGCTCCCAAAATGCTTCGAACCTGCTTCCAGGAGGCCCCCGACAGGTTCAGAGGCTCCCGAGAAGCTACGTCAAACTCCCAGCGAGCGGCCGGACGAGGCCCCCCAAAAAATCACAAGAGGGTTCCAGTATTTGTATCCTTCAGCGCTCTCTGGCCTTCTTCCCCCTGCCCCCTTCCCTGCGACTTTCGTTGACTCAAGCTCGCCTCCTAGCTAGAACCTAAGCGCGCGCGAAGCGCGCGCGTGGTTCTAGTTTTATATATACACATAGGTATCTGCAAATCTATACACACATTTGAATCTAACACATGTATACCGATGCGTCCGCGAAGGGCGGTGCCCACCGATCGGCATGGGCCCTGTGCGTTCTGGCCGACGTCGGCGGCGACCGTGCTGTATGTTCGGTTCGGACGTGCGCCTCTGAGGAGGGCGCGTCGCACTCGTACGGTGGGGGCGTTCGTCAAGGAATGTGCCCAAGGAGGCCTCAGACCCTCGAGCATTCCTTATCCAACGAGGGCGGTGGTATTGTCCATGGCCACTCGATCCACGGTTGGAGTACCGCCGGCTTCCAGACTCCCTCCAGGGGGTGCCGCCCTTTCGCTCGGCGCCGTCGGGGCCCTCGCGCACGAAGCGGCACCGCGCATGGCATCGTGCCACCAGCGCATGAGCGCGGATGTAAATTGGCAACACGCCGACTTGGTGGCGGTGGTAATGGGGCGATTTTGACATAGTTGAGGACTCGGCGTGGCATCGGGCACATCGAACAAATAACAAATCAGGTGGGGTGTCGAGGGCGTGGTCGCGCGATCGCCCCCAGGAGGGAGGGTCCGGGCGGCGCGCCGTGTTGCACTTTCTACGCGGTGGGTGGCGCGGCCAGTCGGATTCCCTTGGTGTCCTCTCCAGTGTGCGCCCCCTTTCGCGAGGCTGCGGGTCGGACGCGGGTGACCTCGGTCGCGGCCTCGGCAGAATATCCTCGTGGCCTGTGCTTTTTGGATGCCATGCTACCGTCGGAAGGGGCTCTGCGCGTCCTGCCACGTGCCCAGTGCAATCACTTCGGACCTTCTAGATCTGACGCCCTCACGGCTTGTGCCCTCCCTGCCGCCCAGCTGACTCCGTTGAGGCGGGGCGCTCTCTCCTCCCTCGGTCTCTTTCTCTCTTTCCTTCTTGCTTCTCCGTCGTCTTCCTCTCGCGACCTCCCACGGTGTAATAGCTTGACTTGTACCCGACTTGAGCGCCGTCGTGCCCTCGTCGTCGTGCGACGACGACGACGACGACCCAGCCGGCTCAGGACGGCGGACTCCTGCACCTCGCAGGCCTGCCGCCGCTGGGCCCGGCCGGCTGCGGGCTCCTCGCGCCCAGGAGCGCGGCGCCCGTCGACGCGCGCTGGTGCGCCAGCGTTGCCGAGGCGGCGGGCCGCCTCCGTCAGGGGCAGCGTCAGTCCGAGGAGGGAAAGGCACCCATGCCGCTACCTTCGCCACCTTTCCCTCGTTTTTCCCCTTTCTGGGCCTCCTGGGAGGCCCTCGTCGCCACCGCCGGATTCGCCTCGAGATCTTGGTCAGAGCGCACCCCGGGAGAGGTCCGGGGAGCAGCGGTATCGGTACTGTTGGGTTTCCCCAGTCAGATGTGTGCGTGCGTGCGTGTGTGTGCGTGTGTGTGTGTGTGTGTGTGTGTGTGCGTGTGTGTGCGTGTGTGTGTGTGTGTGTGTGTGTGTGTGTGTGTGGTGTGTGTGTGTGTGTGTGTTGTGTGTGTGTGTGTGTGGTGTGTGTGGTGTGTGTGCGTGTGTGTGTGTGTGTGTGTGCGTGTGTGTGTGTGTGTGTGTGTGTGTGTGTGTGTGTGTGTGTGTGTGTGCGTGCGTGCGTGCGTGTGTGTGTGTGTGTGTGTGCGTGTGTGTGCGTGTGCAGTCCGGGTTTCGGCCCCGCCTGGCGCGCGTTCTTGGCGTGTGCGGCGTTCCGTCATTATTCGCCTGTGCTGCCGCAGCGTCGGGTCCGCTGTTGTGGTGCTGCCTCGACTGTGGGTCTGGCACTCCACGACTGCTATCTCTCGTGTCGCCGGTTCGTAGGGAAGACCCTACTTATCGCCTCGCCAGGCCATAGCTCTCAGCGTTACCGCACCATATGGGCGGGTCTGGCAGCTGTACAGGTTGTAATCTGTACCGACGTTTCAGGCTGCCTCGATTCGGGCTGTTGCGCTCCTCGGGTTCTGGCCGCCGCACGCTCTTTGGGTCCTCATCTGTCGGTGTTTCTTGGATTTTCTTTGCACCAGACTGCTCGCGCTTCAGTTCACCTTGCGTCGAGCTCGCTCTGCGTTCTCCTCGGGTTCTGGCCGCTGTAAGCTTTCGGGTTTAGAGTTCCATCACTACAGCACCCATTCTCTGCATTCGTGTTTGGGGTCACTACACCACCCATTCTCTGCTATTTACCGTGAGTCTCTTTTTATTTTCACCATCTCTTCTGCACTGCAGCGGTGGACGTATCCTTCACTGCGCGTTCCGACTAAGTTCGGTCGCAATTCACACCTACATCTGTGGACCGCGCCTGAGGCTTCTCTGCGCCGCTGACTTAAAAGTGCGTGTGCAGTCGAACCTGATGAGAAGGATGGGGGCGCCTTCCCAAGGGTACCCTTACATCCTTACCTTTTCGGTCCATCCTTAACCCCTTTCCATGGCCAGCCCCACTCGAACAACTTCCACGTGGGTGTCCAAGGGGCTTGCGTCCTCACCGCGCAGCCTTACTATCAAGTCTGCCTGTAGTGATTGGCCCTGGGGCGACGCATCGACCCCCGATCGCCCGTCGATCGCCGACGGGGGCCCGGTGCTCCACCCCGACCAGGCACGCGCTCTTGTGCTGTCGGGGGCTATCGGGGGGTCTGTTGCCGAGGCGGCGGACCGCCTGTGTCGTCAGGGGCAGCGCTGGGGGAGGGGCAGGCAGGGTCCACGTCGATCGATCGGTCCATCTCGAGCCGCCGCCGTCGCGGGCAAGTCTACGGGCAGGAACCTTGGCGCCGCCGGTGCAGGCTCACCACGCCATCCCTCGGGAGGGAAAAAAAGCACAGACACAATTAATCGTCGATTCCCCAGGAAACGTGGGAAAATATGGGAAGTGGGGGGGAAGACAGAAGGCCAGAAAGTACGTGGAAATATGGGGAATGTTCTTATCTGTGTGTATTTATTTGTGTGTCCTGGGGCCCCTTCAATCCCTGGCCCAGCCCCCAAGCGTCAGCGCCCCGAGCTTTCTCCAGCCTCCCCGCCGCGCGGGGCGGAGCGACGCGCCGTCCGCCTGCAGGGCGCAGCGTGTCGCCGGGTGCCGCCGCCGCGACGCGCCGAGACACAGTTCCCGACCGCATGGGGTGCAGTCGGGGCGTTGACCTAAGGAAACCTAAGTCAGGAACGAGGCCCCTTTTTTCCATGGGTCAAACTTCGATTTCCCGTCGAAAGCACCAGGAAAACCTGAGGCAAGCTGTGAAACACTTAAGGAACACGGAGCCCCTCCCCAACGAAAAGGGATGCAACTCCTGTGAGGTCAAATTCTGATTTTGCACTGGTCCGAAGTCCGGCTTAATCCGGCTTAATCCCGCTTAATCCCGCTTAGTCCCGCTTAATCCCGTTCAATCCCGCTTAATGCGGCTTCATCCCGCTCAATCCGAGGCCCACTCTGGCGTAATAGCTCCCAAATGGGGCTTAATCCTCCTTAATCGTTCCGACGAAAACCTCCCAGTAGTTGCCTGTGGGCCCTGGGGGCGACGCGTTGACCCCCGATCGCCCCTGGATCGCCGACAGGGGGCCGATGGTCCACGCCGACCAGGCAGCGCCAGCGTTGCCAGGGGTCGGGGGGCCGCCTCTGTCAGGGGCAGCGCTGGGGGGGGGGGGGGCGGGGCGGGCAGAGTCCAGTTGGATCCGATCGATCCCATTCGCTGTCGACTCCGGCCGGTCGGGTCCGATTCGGTGCCGACATGCTGGCGATCCGATGCGGAACGATTCGTTGCGAATTTGGTGCGGCCGATTCGATTCGCGATGCGGGCCGGTCCGGCGCAACATCCGATGTAGGGGGCCACATGCGAACCCTACCCCTCGCCCCGACGAATTCTGAGGGGGAGGGTGGGGTCCCCCGATTTTTTTCGCTATCGGAGCCTCTCGCTGATCCATATTCGGGCCGAACGAAAGAGGGGGATAGGGAGAGGGGGGGTTACGAAATCCGTCACATGCAGCTGGTTTCGGCCCCACTGCCGGGCCCATTCCTCGATACACGGGCGCCTCCCGGCGCCTGGAGGCGCTGGGAAAATCAGCTACGTGAGCCGATTCTCTACCCTACCCTTTGCTATTATCCCCCCCCCTTTCGTTCCCCCCGATATGTGCGATGCATCGCCGATTCCATATCGACGTTTCCCCCCCTGAGCCCGTCCCCCCTAGCGTTGCCCTCGCTGGCGCTGGCGGCGGGGGCGTCATCGACGGCGTCGGCGTCGGCGTCGGCGTCGGCGTCGGCGTCGTCGTCGTCGTCGTCGTCGTCGTCGTCGGCGGCGGCGGCGGCGTCGTCGTCGTCGCTGCACTTTCGTTGTGGAGGTTCTCGCCGCCACGGCTGGGCGCGGCCCGGAAGAGCGGCCGGGGTGGGTCCCCCGGGGAGGGGTTCCCTGGGCGGGTCTTGGGCCGGCCCAGGGCCGGCGGCGGCGGCGGCTCTCTGTCTGGCGGCGGCGGCGGCGGCAGCCGAGGCGCCAGACGGTCGAAATGGGTACGGAAGGAATGGTCGGGATCCCGCAAAGTGTGTGTGTGTGTGTGTGTGTGTGTGTGTGTTAAGGGAGTTCGATCGGTTTTTGCGCCGATCCGCTCAGAACCGATGACCCCCCCAGCCGCCCGATGGTTGGCGACAGGTGGGGCATGCGGGGGGCATCTGTTTGCGGCAGTGCGGCGCACCAGCGGATCGAACTCATGCCCCCCCTCGGGGTCACACCCCCATTTGTGATGGACCCCGACCGAGGCGGCGGTCGGAGCTGACATTGTGATAGAGGCCGTGCCGGACCTCGTGGATGTCAAGAGCGCGGTGTTCGCCGAGGCCCTGAGCTCCGCGCCCCAGGGCGTGCTGCTGGCCACGAGCACCCTGTCCATCCCGCTCGCGGTGCTGCGGCGGCAGGCGCGGCGTGCTCCCGAGCGGGCCTCGCCTGTGGGGGTCGAGGGCGTCGGCGCCTCCTTCTCGGCGGAGGGCGGCGGAAGGAAAGCCTGGACCTCGCTCGGGCGTGTGCATGTCTTTTTGCGGCGGGGACCATCGAGGAGCATCTCTTGCGCCACCTCGCGAACAAAACCTGCACGCGCGAAGTCGACAAAGTGCAGGGGAAAGGGACGTCCGAGCGATGGCGAGACACGTAAGAGTTCAGGGGCAACGATAGGGGGAAATAGGTATAGGGGGGATGCATCGACATGCAATCGCCCATTGATCGCCGATAGGGGCCTGATAGCCCGGACCTGCCCAGGAAGGTGCGGGTTCACTCTCAGGGGCCTGTCGCCGATCTATCGGCGATGCATCGCCGATTCCAGGTCGATGCTCCCCCCCCTATGCCAGTCCCCCTCTATCGTTGCCCCTCAGGAGGAGGAGGAGGAGGAGGAGGAGGAGGAGGAGGAGGAGGAGGGGGAGGAGGAGGAGGAGGAGGAGGAGGAGGAGGAGGAGGAGGAGAGGAGGAGGAGGAGGAGGAGGAGGAGGAGGAGGAGGAGGGAGGAGGAGGAGGAGGAGGAGGAGGAGGAGGAGGGGGAGAAGGAGGAGGAGGAGACCCTTCGCCAGAGTGACCTCTGGTGCGGGCCCACTGGGGGCCCCCCGATCGCCGAGCGCGGTGGCGATCGTGCTGCCCGCTCCTGGCGCGCTCGGGCCCTCGGCCCCCTCCGCGGCTGGCCCCGAAGGCCGCGCACCGAGGCTCCGTCTCGTGCTCACACGTCGGGCCTGCCCCTTCTGGAGGAGGAACATTCAAAAATAGTATGGTTGCAGTATGGGGACGATTTTGGGCGTAGTGTTGGCCACGTTTTTTTTTTTTTTTTTTTTTATTTTTTTTTTTTTTTTTTTATTTTTATTTTTTTGGTGAATTTTTATATATATATATATGGGCTTAAAAACTCGTATACTTATAGTATGGGGACGATTTTGGCGTATTGTTGGCCACTTTAGAGCTCTTTTTTCCTCCTGTTCTGCAAAAATAGTATGATTGCAGTATGGGGGCGATTGTTGGCGTATTGTTATAGCCATTTTTGAGCTCTTCTTTGGGGTTTCTTTTGTTTTAATTTTCCCCCCAGAATCCGCCGACATGCCCGACCCAATCTTCTGCCCAGGGGCCGCTCCCGCGTGCGGCCGAGAGCGGGGGCGGCTCTGCCGGCGGAAGGCCAGCGGAAGCCGGCGGAAGTCGGGTATAGCCGGGACCCCAGGTAAGGGGACCAGAGGAAGAGGAGGAGGAGGGGGAGGAGGAGGAGGAGGAGGAGGGGGAGGAGGAGGAGGAGGAGGAGGAGGAGGAGGAGGAGGAGGAGGAGGAGGAGGAGGAGGAGGAGCGGTTGGCAGTAGGGCCCCGGAGCCTTCTAACTGGCCAGAGTCACTAACCCAGGTCTGCCGTGTAGCTGGTGTTTTTTCGGGGGACGGCAGTTCCAGTTAGTGGATTGGGGCGGGGAGAGCGTCCCCGAGTGCTCATCATTGAACTGGGTCCCACGCCCGAGGAAGGAAAGGATGCACCCCCGCAGGGCTCGTTTCGATTTCTCCGATTCGATTCGATTTCGGCTTCGATGGATTCCGGTTCCGATTCGATTCGATTCCGGACTCCGATTCGGGCTCCGATGTTGTGCTGGACGCATGCCAGCCTGCCGATTCCCGCCGATTCGGCTTTTCCCGACGCGGCTGCCGATTTCCGCCGATCCGACTTATTTCGATCGCCGATCCGACTTGTCGATTCGATTCTGGGCTCCCCTGCCCCCCAGGAGATGGCAGGGTGTTTTGCCTCCGAAGTGCCCCACGCCCGCCAGGTGGCGCAGAGGGTCGCCTCGGCGGTGTCGAGGCAGGGTTTGGGCCCCGCCGCCGCCCGCGTGGTCGGGCTGCGCTTTCTGGCCCCCGTGGTGTTCATCCCGTTCGTCGAGGTGACGCTGACCGCCGCGCAGATGGGGGGCGCGGAGCAGGCTCCGCTCCGAGCACTCTCTGTGGGTGGAGGGCAAGGGGTGAAGTCTGAAATGTCCTTTCGACGGACTTTCGAGGCTTGACTCTGCCAAAGGTGAATCACAAGACGGGTTGATTCTCGAGGTGCAAAAGCCCATATGGATTTCACCCTGAGCCCTCCACCCCAAATTTTTTTTCAGTCCACCGCCAGAAGACGTCCACATCCACTGCTTCGGAGTCGTGTCCCGGAGATCTCGATGGGGTGGTGGCTATGGATATTTGCCCCCGCCCGCGTGGGCGGGCAGGTGTCTCTGCATCCACCGCTCCCCGAGCCCCTGGGACACGACCCCGCGGCAGTGGGTATGGACATCTTCCGGCGGCGCACCATCCCCCGCTGGGCCATGGCATCTCAGCTCCACCCTCCTCCCCCCCCCCCCAGTTGGGGGACGGACCTCTCGAAGCCCGGAGGGAACAGCGCAGATCCCCATCTGGGAGGGCCGAGCGGCGAGTGGGGCCCGGGCCACGCCGCTGGGGATAGGGTTGTGGAGGACGATCAATGGAGGGGAAGCATGTTGCCAAACGATTTCCAGATGTCTAAAACATGTGTTAAAACTGTTTTTTTAGCATGTAAGAAGCATGCTTCAAACATTTCCAGGACATTCTCCTACATTTTAAACATTTTCTAATTCGATGATCGGAAAGCCGTGGAAAACACCCTAGTGGACTTACAGCGCGAGGGTAAAGCCAAAGGTGAAGGCAAAACTGGCAAAGGAAAGGGCAAAGGCAAAGGAAAGGCCAATCACGGCAAAGGCTTCGACTATGTGAAATACTGGAACGAGTGCAATGAAAAACAACCAATGCTGGACGAGGACGTCGGCGACATCGCAAAGGAGTGTAGTGACGAGAAAACGCTGCAAAAGAAGATCAAAGTCAGGAGATTCACCAAATCAGAGCTGGCTAAAAGAAAATCGCGGTCAAAAAACATGGCCCCCCCTGCTGCTCCGAGGCGACGACCCCCTGGCGACGACCCAAGACGCCATGGTGGAAGAAGCAGCGGCAGCAGCAGGGGGCCACCATTTGGAAAGCAAAGAGCCCAACGAAGAATCGGAAAGGCCATGGGAAAGGAAAAGGAAAGAGTCCATCCAAAGCAAAGGCAAAGGCAAGGCAGAGACAAGCAAAGGAGGCAAGAGTGGCGGCAAGGGCAAAAAAGGAAAATCATGTAACCAAACATCAGATCGAACAAAAGTTTTGGAGTATGCATGGAAACAGTGAAACTTGGATTCTCAACAAACTTTGGGATTACGATAAACTGTTGGGCCAATTATACTTGTTCGATTTGGACAGCCGTTCCGTCGTAACGGCGCGGGCCGCGCAAGTCCCTTGGCCGGTCGTACTGTGTCTCACTTGCTTCTCAAGGAAGCATATCTTCTGTGGTGGAAGCGAATCTAGTCAAGAACCCGTCTTTTGTGCTGTGCAAATTTTTGTACATACAGTCAAATGGCGTTGGAAGTTCCAGAGGGACTCTGAACCTGCGATGTGGTGGAGAAAGCATTTGGGTAAGACAAAGGTTGCTCTTTATACTGAGGCTGAGCCACAGAGGGCTGGTGGCAAACTCCCACACCAGGTTGCATCTAGTTTGAACGCCATCAAGTTTCAAGTCGCAGACTTGTGCAGCAGAACTATCAAGAGTTGTAGGGGGACAGGCAGGTCTTTTTCAAACGTGTATCCTTGGGTCCATGCGGCCATACGTCGGATCAAAACGACGGGGTATGCGATAGTACCAACAGACAAGCATTGAGGATTTTGCCTTGTCCCCGAAAGCTCGCTCCGTGTACTGGTAGACGAAGCGATGGCTAAACAGTGCTATTCGGAAGCCAGTTGGGTCAATGAGCAAGGGGTGCACGATGTGCACAGATCAATGATTCGACGCGTGGGCGAAGGCTTCGACAAGAAACTTTCGGCCGAACTTTGGAAGCGTGCAGGAAGCGCATGCAACGTCATCAGTATACTTCAGTTTACGATCAAAACCCATAAGGAACCAGGGGAAATTTGGGTTAAGGATTATACATTCGTGCAGCGGCCACGCGTTTTCCAACATACCTCGGGTTTGTAGCGGTTACCTCAGGAATTTCATTCGTACCGCATACGTCCATATCTATGACTCTACTGACGGAGTACTCAAAGCCCTATCACAGATTCGAACCGATGGGAAAAGCATATCGGCCAGCTGCGACATAAAGGATTTTTATCTGAACGGAGAGCACGAGCAAATGTGCAAACGTGTGTGCGAGAAAGTTTGGCACCCACGCAGCATCCATGACATTATATTGTACGGCATGTTGACCAACCAGTACGTTGGGAGCAAACTTTGGCATGATCGATACTGGCGCGTATGTTCGGGCGCTGGCATGGGCCTCCCGTGTTCTGGCGACACTGCCGACGCAAACTTTGCAGAGCTCGTGGAAGTGTATCTGTTGCAGCGAAAGGCAGCATTTGGTATAATTTTCTACGGCCGCTACCGCGACGACATTTTGTTCCTCTGCAAAGACAGATATTGTTGGGTCATAAATGGCCTTCATCCGCCGTAAATGTGCATGCACGTACAAAGTTGAAATGAGCGAAATGTCATACGACCAAATACCGTACTTGGATGTGATGCTGCACCAAGAGCCGTGCGGCAGAATATCTTGGACACCGTATTTCAAGCCAGGCGAAATTAAAACACCATTGGCATCAAGCTCAAGCCACAGCAAGGCCGTGCACGCAGCGTGGCTTAGAGCCGAGCTGGACCGGCTGCGAAGAAGATCCAGTGCTGCCCGTAGTTTTCCGTGAAACTGTACACCATAAGACGTGTATTTTCCGTGAGTTCGATATCCCCGAGCCTGCGCCCCCTCGGTATAGCTTTTTGCCCCGCTCCCGAAAACGCGAGCCCGAGGATCGCGGTAGCAAAGTGTGGCTTGTTCTCCCTTTCCACCCCTTACTGTCCCGAGCTAGAATTGCTGACCGTATGCGTGAGGTTTGGGACCGCTGGGGATGCAACGACAGGAGCATTTTCTAGAAACGCCTTGAGTTCAAAGTGTCGTGGAAAAGCTCACGGCCGAACCTGGCGCAACTGATCAGGCAGTGGCAGCAGATTTTCTAAGATCATGGCTGGTCTCGTTTGGGGTAGGTAGGTGGGAACATCAAATTTAATCTTCGTGCAGGCATGCCTATAACCTCTGGCATGCACAGACGCCGGCGCCGCCGTTACGACAGATTTGGGGTTTTTGCTTTTGCGCCGAGGCCGCGTGCAGATAATCGCGCTTCTGTGCTTTCGCCCCGTCGGCCGGCACCGCCGTTACGGCAAAATTTCGCTCTAGGCTGTCACCCTATTGTCTCATCGTCTCCGCTGCAATTTCACTCAAGCTGCTCCACCAGTGGGCAGCGGCAGAGAGGCCGCTCACAGGCCCCCAGGGCGGCGCCTGCAGCCCAACGTGCGATCCGAATCAGTCGATCAAAACATAATCAAACAGTGATTTTGGGAAAAGGCTGCAAGCGCTCGTGGTAGTAGTTCTGCCACGCTGTCTATTGCACTGCGGCGACCGCCGAGCTTGGAAAAAGTAGCAGAGTGGGACACGGGGACGGGTTGATTCTCGAGGTGCAAAAGCCCATATGGATTTCACCCTGAGCCCTCCACCCCAAATTTTTTTCAGTCCACCGCCAGAAGACGTCCACATCCACTGCTTCGGAGTCGTGTCCCGGAGATCTCGATGGGGTGGTGGCTATGGATATCTGCCCCCGCCCGCGTGGGCGGGCAGGTGTCTCTACATCCACCGCTCCCCGAGCCCCTGGGACACGACCCCGCGGCAGTGGGTATGGACATCTTCCGGCGGCGCACCATCCCCCGCTGGGCCATGGCATCTCAGCTCCACCCTCTTCCCCCCCCCCCAAGTTGGGGGATGGACCTCTCGAAGCCCGGAGGGAACAGCGCAGATCCCCATCTGGGAGGGCCGAGCGGCGAGTGGGGCCCGGGCCACGCCGCTGGGGATAGGGTTGTGGAGGACGATCAATGGAGAGGAAGCATGTTGCCAAACGATTTCCAGATGTCTAAAACATGTGTTATCACTTTTTTGAACATGTAAGAAGCATGCTTCAAACATTTCCAGGACATTCTCCTACATTTTATTTTCTAATTCGATGATCGGACTGTTCGGGTGTCCATTGTCGTGGCATCCGCAGGGATAGGGATCGGTCAAACGATGCGCAGGCGCACCGCCGAGACCTGTTCGGCCACCTGTCCGCGTGGGGCAAGTCGGCGTTCTTCTGCTCGGTCCGGGGCGCGGCCGAAGAGGCCGAGGGCGCCGCGCGGGACGCGGCCCGGTTCCTGGCGAGCTCGCGGGTGCGCCTGGACGAGGAGACGATCTCGATGCGGCAGGTGGGCGACGCAGGAAAAAAATCGGGCCGGACGAAAGGGGGGGATTGGGAAAACGGGGTTTACAAAATTTGCTGCATGCAGCTGGTTTCGGCCCCACCGAGGGGCCCATTCCTCGATACATAGCCGCCTCCGGCGCCGGGAGGCGCCGGGAAAATCAGCTACGTGAGTTGATTCTCAATTTTCCCCTTTGCTATCCCTCCACCGCCAGAACATATCCATATCCACCGCTTCGGAATCGTGCCCTGGGATCTCGAGGAGTGGTGGATATGGATATCTGCCCGCCCGCATGGGTGGCCAGATATCCATATCCATCGCCCCTCGATTCCTTGGGGTACGACCCCGCGGCAGTGGATCTGGACATATTCTGGCGGCGCAATCCCCCCCTTTCGCCCGACCCGAAAAAACAGAGCCGCCTCCACCGACGTGGGCGCGCGCGCGAGCTCCCCGCGCGAGGTCGCGCCCCAGCGCCCTCGCTTCCGGCGCGGCGTGCCGCGCCGGCGGCCCGCGACAAAAGCCACCGCGTGCGGCCGCCGCGCCATCTCGCGTACGTCGCAGGCCTAGAGGTTGACACCAGCACCAATTTCGGCGGTGTGCCTCCGCCGAGGGAAGACGATCCCGATCTCGGTGATGGTGGTAATATTCTGGCTTCCAAGGTGGCCAAAATGTTACCACCAACGCCGAAATGTAGGATCATCTTCCCCCTGTGGAGGCAAGCCCCTGCGTTGGTGTTGGTGCCCATTTCCAGCCCTCCAACGTACGCTTCGCTTCCTCTCGCCGCACAGGTGGGCGAGGCCCGGCTGCGCCACGCGCGCCAGCTCGGACCGTCGGAGGGCGCCAGCCGGCCCTGGCCGCCCC